CCAGGACCCTGCTACACAAGATCTGGAAGTATATCTCCCTCCCACTAAATCTAAACATTCACTGAAGTCTATTGAAATGGACTGAAGTTGCAACAGGAGAATCTCAAATCCCCATCTCGGGTCCCTTCACAAAGTTTGTTCAGGTTTCCAAACTGCGGTTCCGGATGAAGTGCAACTACAGCTTAAGGCTTTGGGACAACTGAGCTCTGTGCTGGGCCTCAGATGGTCTTTTTGGTTTGAAATCACTTTATGCTTTGCAAAGCAATGCCCTCAGTGCTGCATTTGGTGACCTGCAGCACTCACTCAGGCTGCCATCAGCAGGACATCTGCACTGCTGGAGAGGCATTTCAGCAGGCCTCGCCCTGTGGTAAGTGAAGGGAGCCTGGAAAGCAGACAGCAGAGGTCCTCAAGGCAAACAGGTCAGGAAGGGCCCAGGATGCCCGGAGCTTTGGGAACAGCAGCAGCTTTGCTGTCACCACGCACTCCCCTGAGGCCTAGAATTGTGCAGAACAGGGAAAAGAATTTAACAGACACAGTCCATCTGATGGACTGCAAAGTCTCCTATCAGTGAGTAACAGGAGGAGAAAGAGAGAGGGAAAGATAGGAAAGTAGAGGAGAGGGGAAGAGAGAGGACAAGAGTTCAGCTACAAGCTCTTGCCTCTGCCACTGAGCAGAGGGGAAGCCCACGAGTGCCCGTGGCTGCCTCTGTCACACCGGCTCCGCAGCCGGGCAAGCACCCCACGGCGAACACGCTCAGGGCGCCTGCTCCGCTGGCAGGTTGTCCCTTTCCTTAACTTATGGCCTTTTCCAGGAGGCCCCCGCACCCTCTAACAAGTCTTCTACAGGAAAACTACTACCCGTTCTGCGTTTTACTCTCTGCATTTCTCCTACAACTTTTGGACTCCRTGCTTTTGTAATCTTTTGGCCATTTGCAATGCCAAGCCACCAAAACCCCAATGACGTGAAGGTCTGAGGGCAAACATTTCAATTCTACTAACAGTGAAAACAACCACTTTGAAAACATTTTGGATCCTCTTTTTCCACCTGTGAGGTGAGTAGTCAGCAGAGGTTCTGCAGCTACAGGTGGAGGATGAAGATCTTGCTCCTGTGGTTACTGCTATTGCCGTTTGAAGGGAAAGGCTGTGGCACTCCTTTGAATGGCAGCATTTTACAGCAATTTAACTTCCTACCTAAAGAAGCCAGTTTGCATGAAAATTATCTGGAAAGCACACACAGATACACAAACCTGCTGATATTTTCAGCCCAGGTATGACAGACAGTATATCAAAGGCCACAGGGATGAAGAGACAGTCATACTACAAGAATATTTTCTACAGTAATTTCCTAGAAAAGGAAGTTCTTAGTCTACAATTACCTTCAAACTTCTTGTATGAAGAAAAGTACAACTGATTTCTACCTTCATGCTTATTCACCTTCCATGAAAGCACTGCCAACAACCTAATGAAGAATACTAGGTAATTCTGGCATTATTGGATTTTTCTTTATTTATTTTTTAGGCATGGTAGCTACTATCAGTAAGCAGCCAGTAAGGCAAATCAGATAAAGCACTATGTGATTTCTGTGTTGTAAATCAGATTTTAATAGAGAAAAGACCTGTATCCCTTTGGGATTGGAAAGAACAGGTTAATGTGTTCTGAATGTGTGCTGCACAATAGCAAGTATGGTAAAAAAAAAAAAATATATATATATATATATATATATATATATATTTTTTTCCCCTAATCAATTTCTGCTTTTTTTCTCCAAGTTCTTCGACCCTTATGGTGAGAAAAAAATTAAATGAATGTCCTATCTGTGTCAAAAAGAAGGAAATTACTAAGGTACATATACACAGGCCTATACACACATGTTGCATCCTCACATAGATGCACACAAAATACCATATTCTGCAGTATTATAAATATAATCAAGACATCAAGTGCACTTGCTTCTCTGCTGGCAGAATAATTTACGGATTTCAGGTTTATTTAATTCAGCCAGTGAAGTGAGAGTTTTGTAGCCTGCTCGCAACCCCAGCACAGCTTCTGTCTTCAGTATTTATCCTTGTCTTTTTCTATTCAGATACTATGAAGTCTCACGACAGCACCTGTACATTAGACAAAGATAACATTTGACTACCACTTGAAGCTTTTACAGATTTTAATCAGCAGAGGAATCGAGATGTACTCAGACAGAAATCTGTGTTAAATCTATTAGAAAGCCTGATGCAAAGCCAGCTCTAGCTTGYACTGAACTGCTATTTGAATTTTGAGTTGTTGAAAATTAGTATTTGCAAAAATGATAACTTCCCTCATGTCTAACATATCRTTTTTGACTGTTCAGACAGGACAGCTGAGATTTGAAATTAATTTACAGATAAGGCACTTAAAACAACAAATATTTTGAGGACTCAGAAATACTTTTTAAAAAGGAACTTGTTATATCACAGTCTATTAATTCACAACAAACTGGAGATAGAAGTATTCTGTGTTATGTTTAGCCTGAAAATGTCATTTCYTTCATGATTTATGCACTGAAAGACAAAATTCTAACACAGCCTTTTTACCCACAGAGACCTGCGAAGGTTTATACTCAGAATTTCATTACCAAACAGATAGGGAAAAACTCTGCCACTGCCGCCAGCTATTGCAACRCACTACACTCTGTTCTGGGCCCTTTCCCTTCCATGCAAGTCTTTCCTAGTCTCTGTTGCAGGAGGACTAACGTTCTTGAAAGTAACTATGAAACTACAGGCAGCGCAGAAGTCATGAACACAATGAAAGCTATCAGCAAACCTTGATTATCTGAATGTAAGTCTTACAAGTAAGGGAAAACCAAACAACTCGCAATTAACTACAGAATTTTGACTCAGAATTAAGATTCAGAATTCATCTATAAATATATATGTAGGCAAATGTGTGTGTGTATATATTTTTATATATATATATATATATACATATATATATATATATGTATGATTAAAGGTTAGCTCCAGGCACTTGCGCACAAGATGAGTTTTGGGTTGTAATGACTTTGCGGTCTTACCTAAATAAAACATCTTAATTAAAGACCAGATTATTTTGCTTGCATATGTCTGTGATCATGATGTGGAGGAATAAATGAGTGATGAAGGCCAGAGAGCAAAATGAATCCTGAGGCTCACTGTAGCCTGTAGCAGGGCGCAGTGTGAACAACACTAAGGAAAGCACTTTGGGYGTTTGAGGTTTCCTTTTGAAAGCAGATGGTAGCAAGCACCGAGAGAAGCAAGGATGGTGCTGCCAGGTTAACATGAAATGGCAGGGAAGAAACAGTCACTTGAACACTTTTCTTTTTGTCTCCTAGAATAAAACCATGAGACTGGATTAAGTGGGATAAAAATCCCAAGAGATCTGTAAGAGTAACCCGAAGAAGTTCATTACAGCACAATTAGAATGACAAGCGCTGAAGAAACCAGTTTCTCCCCACAATCCCACATATGAACTATTTGTTAATACTGCATGTCCCTAAGGTGTTCCCCTCAAACTGAGCACAGGCAAACTGGTAAGCTCTTTCTCCCCAAGGATGGGTGGAAAACTGTCTAGAACACCACCAATCTTTCTTCTGTACAGGATGAGAGGTTCCGCTGACGGCAGCATGCACAGCTTTAGGTGCAACAAGGCCATGTAATTTGTGTTAGCAGACAGACTGTCTTCAAAATTACTCTTTCTAATGAGCACCTTGTAATACTGGTGAAATATCATTACACTCAAACCTCCCAGAAGTATCTAAAAAATAACTTTTTCCTTTTTTTTTTTTTTTTTAAACTAACCAATCAAAGCCACAAGAAAGGACTGCAACCTCCATTTGGATTCAGTCTTTTACAAAGTGACAGAGGCTTCAAAGCTGTCACCCTCATTAACGTGCAGGCGCTTTGAGCTGCTCTCTCTCRCTCTTCAGGGTAGAAAATTCACAGAGAAAGGGGCACTCCCTCCGTGCAATAGGCCAAAAACCTCATTGCACGACTGCAGACACGCAAATGAAGATGCAGCAACTTACCYGTCAGCTGTACTTAACAGTACAGGCGAAGATATTTGACTGTCTTTCAAATTAAGAGTAACGCTCCCATACACAATTACAGTGGCTTGTAAGAGCATGAAAGCATCACGAGGCAGACAGCTCTTCAACGCGTGCCTGCAAAGTGTCTCATGGCCCAAAACGAGTGCCAGGCTCCTTTCTCTTCTCGTTAGGGAGCTACTGCTGCCYGGCACCTCCCTTGCTGCCCGTGCTCCAATCCCTGGTGCAAGGGGAGGCTCTGCAGCCCAGTGGCTAAGGCTGAGCTTAACCACGAGCCAGCAAGGGCCCTGAAACGCCAGCTGTGAGCAGCTCGGGCCTTGCAGGGGGGTTCGCTCTGCGGGCTGCCCATGCAAACCAGGCTGCAGGGCCATGTGAATTACCTCCTTGATTCCATCCCTGAAGCTTTAATGAATTTTTATTAAAAATAAAAAATCCTGTTATTCGCTCATGTATTTTCTTAAGCAAATACCATCTGAATGACTCGATGTAGGAGGAAGGGGCAGGAAGGTGACAATCAGTTTATTTTTTTCTGGCAAAACTCTYTCCTTTCTCTCCAGATAAATGTCCCTGTTGCACAGCAAAGGCACTTTTTCCACTTTCAAATAAGAAAACAATATTCTTCCAGAGTTGACAAATAGACAATATGTGCAGAGCAGTTCAGGGGAAGTGAGGTAGCTTTAATAATCTGTATCCCATTWTTATTTGTCTGTTGTAACTTTATGGCTTATAACATGGAGTTTAGGCACATGCAGCTTCCCCTCCCCAGAGGGTACCCTATCAAGACAGTAACGTACCATGACCTCAACAAATATTCTATTTAAAAAGCACAATGGCTCCCAATCAGCAAACAGCTTCTGCCTGAGGTACCTCAGATTTAAATATAAGTCAAGAGCAAGAAGCAGGGCAGCGAGGGCAAATCCACCGTGTCCCAGAGGTCCCCGACTTACTGAGGTTCCACTTGAGGCCCGTGGTGGTCACGCTGTCACAGGCGTTCCCGATGGGAATGAGGCCACACCAGTCGCCTTCCAGGCCCGTGTCCACGTGCAGCCTGTGCTTGCCCTGCAAAACAGGAGGGTCCTTGTGGTCAGTACTCCCACACACTCAAAGCAGTGTCTGCCAACAGATATTCCAGGAAATAAACAAGCAAGGAAGTATTTAGATAAAGGTAGGTCCAAAACTAACCCCAGGAGCTCAGAAATATTTGACTCTAGGATTTCAGAYTGGTTGATGTTTTGGAGAGAGGGGAGACATACGTTTGGATTCCTGACCTTGGCACTTTCAAGTGAAACCAAATTGGTTGATTCTGGAGCCCATTTGAGTTCTCTTTGAAAGAGAACTGACTTTGCTCATTCTCCTCTGACACTTCTCGAAGACTCATTGCAACTAAACTAGGCTGCTACTTCCTTTGAAATGAAGGCACCCTGACCTACTCATTAATTTTTTACAACCTTCTCATCCGTTCTAAACAGCTGTATTTCACTTCCTCAATGACAGTCAAAAAATTATCATTMTTTTGACTATGTTTGTGTAGGTTTTTTTTATGTACTTTGTGTGCTTTTCCAGACAGCAAAAGAAGGAGTACTTGCAGAATGCTAACTGGATTCTAGAAGAATTAACCTGAATATTTACAGTACCTGACTTTATTCCAAATAAACACCATGAAGTGAAATCAAAAGACATTTTTGTAAATTCATTTGGTAACTTCATGGGACGGAGGGGAAGAAACAGTTATTAGTGATGATGGATTTGTGACTAAATCCTKAATTAGTCGTCCTAGACCTCAGGTCAGCATCTTGCTGGGTACCAGCACGTGAATAATCCCAGTGAAGAGCATATCATGGGAAAACTTTACAGAACAAACAAGCAGAATTCTGGCACAGCTTGTCTTTTAAAAAGCTGTTTSTTAAGACTAGTTATGAAAAAATAGCAAATGAAAGAAATGATGATCTCGTCTTTTCTAAATAGGTCATTTATTCTTTACTGGGAACATCTAGGGGGAAGATTAAGGATTTTTTTTTTCTTTCTTTCTAAGAAATACGGAGCTCCTTGGGGTTTTATTCTCTTGTGGACACACAAGCAAATCGAGTCTTTCAGTATCTCTTTTATATGCATCCTTTTCACCACCATAAAGGAACCAGATATGTTTATTTTACTTATCTATTAGGAAAAAAAGGACCTATGAAAGCCAAAGCATTAACCTGAACATYTTACTAAGCAAAGAACCAAGGGCTTACACCAAAAGAAGAAACAAATATAACACAGGTACATACCTCAAACAGCAAAAGCACTTTGACACAATTTTATTTTGGTAGTTTACAGAATCACAGAAGGCTTGAGGTTGGAAGGCACCTCTAGAGATCATCTATTCCAGCCCCCCTGCTCCAGCAGGGACACCCAGAGCACGGGGCACAGGGCGGCATCCAGGCGGGTTTGGGAAGAYCTCCAGAGAAGGAGAYTCCACAACCTCCCTGGGCTGCCTGTGCCAGGGCTCTGGCACTCTCACAGGGAAGAAGTTCTTCCTCACATGGAGATGGAACTGCCTGTGTTTGCAGCRTGCACCCATTGCCCCTTGTCCTGTCACTGGCCACCACTGAGAAGAGCTKGGCCCCTTCCTCCCTACATACCCCCTTCATGAACTTACACATGTTAATCAGATTCCCTCTCAGCCCTCTCTTCTCCAAGCTGAACAGGCCCACCTCACTCAGTCTCTCCTTGTACAAGAGATGCTCCATTCCCTAATCATCTTAGTTGCTCTCCGCTGGACCCTCTCTAGAAGCTCCATGTCCCTCTTATACTGGGGAGCCCGGAACTGCATTGTTTATGATTCTGTAATTGCATGTGAGCTTTTTGTGTTAGGTCCTGTCCTCTCCCATTCATTCCAAACACCCCTGCAAATACAACGTCACTAGTGAGAAAGCCAGAAAGCGGCATCACAGCATCGCGCTGCCCGTACGAAGCGCCTGAGGTGTCTGGCAGATGCTCCCATTAATGCCAAATGCATTATGAAAAAGCCATCTTCAATACATGTCATGCTTTCAGTTAACAAATGAACCTTGGAAAAGTTGTCAATTAGGGAGTATCAGATTTTATAGCCTAAGCCTGTTTGATTGTTTGTAGAGCAACAAGGAAAGCAATGCAGGATCATCTGTCTTCTCAAGGTGGCCAACTTCACGGGGGGATGAGCCATGTATTTCTAAAGTGGCTCTGAATGCTTGCCTGCCAAGTTCAGAGAAGTAACAAATCCAGCCCTGMTAACCTTTCAGCTACGCAATATGCCGCTCTATTTCTCTCCTGCAGTATGAAGAAAGAAGAAAAGGGAGAGGGGAGAAATAAAAGTGCTTCTCATCACGCAGTGCTGCCTGTAATAGAGCAGATGATGAAGGTGCGACTGTTGCTCTCCATCAATACAAGCAGCCTTGCTGCTCCCAGCTACTCTAGGAGAGGCACGAGCTCACTGCATTCATCAATTAGTAAGGGAGTATAAAGAACAGAGGTAAAAAGAACAGACCCAACTTGAGAAGTTGATTAAATTCTGCACTCTCACAACCTGTACTTACTATCAGCTTTGTATTTGTCAWTTTTTGACATTCAGGTGCAGCTTATAAGCAGGTATGCAATTCAKCAAGAAACTTACTCAGACATCTGTCTTGTTCTTGCCTTGTCTAAGGCGTTTAGAACAAAAGATGTAATTCACTATCAGAATTTTGCCAATATCCATGATTTTAATCAACAGTCTTTTAAAGTTTGRTACTTCCCTAGAAAACCCAGTTCACACATCCCGGTGAGAGCCTGACTTTCTTCCCTTGAGAAGGGATTAGGTTGAGAGTAAGAGAGCAAAGGGCTATAAAGAAAGTTGCAAGTAAACAGGAAATGAAAAAATAAAATGCAAATTATTTCTAAAAAAGCCTCTTAGGTGTTAAGCCATACTCATGGCTTAGAGATTGGTCCAATCCTACTGTGTAAAACAGATTTTATGACTATTCTTCAAAAAAAATCAGCAATAGATTTCACTATCAGTGGGAGCAATGTGTAATGATAAGGGAAACCATTAAAAAAAAAGATAAAAAAAGACCCTTGTTCGTTTTTGCTGGAAAGATGCATTTTTACAGTAAGGCTTGAAGTCAAACACCATGTCTGCAGTAGGGAAAATCAGTTGTGCAATCATATCTTCAAGCAAGGACCATTCATCAAGYACGATGGAATTGTTATTTACAGGAGGAAAAGGAGATCAGAGCTCTCATCAGGTATAATCTGCAAATCGAAGGAGTCATCTATTCCATATAAATCTCTGTGATTAAAGGAAGCATTATATACAAGTACTTAATGGTACTGTCCTCCATTTCTGCAGAACGCACAGTTCCAAAATTAAGGAAAAGAAAACCAAAGTTGACTAAATAAACCCTTTCTACGTTGTTTTGCCTTTGCAGTAGGTAGCTGAAATACTTTCAAATTTTAACTTAAGAATCAAATATTACCATGTTTGAATGCCACTGGTGATAAAATAATGGCAAATAATACAGGGACATTGATTTCTATCTTATTAGAGCAGTCTTGAAAAACATTGATCAATCGTTAGCATTGATTTTTAGCTTCATTTTGTGTCTGAAGCAAGGAAATAAAATCAATTTCTAAGTTCAGCAATAAGAAGAAAATGTCAGAAGTTTTTCTTGTTTTTTTCTTACACAGAATGTTCCATCCATAATAGGTTAAACTTTTTGTCTTGGTTCAGCATTGTGCCGTAAGAAGGCATTTAAATGATAGTGGTTAAATATATCCTCAGTCCAACACTGCTGCTGCTGAAGGGCCTAAAGAGACACTTTTCTGTTGCATCTCTTAACTCAAATGGATCAAAGCCTGACGGCCACAACCTCATTTGCCATGTGAAATATAAGCAGGTACTAAAATCTGCAACTTTTAGGGAAAAATTGGCAAGCTGGAAAGTATGTGAACAGTTTATCAAGATAATGGGTGTTCTGCATGTACAGATACCCTGGTGGCACTTGTTAAAATAGAGAGTGATTTCTCCAAGTCCTTTGCAGAACAACTTGAATAAATGCAGTACAATAAACAGATAAATCCTCTAAAACAGATATCAAACAGCCGAAACATAATGGATAGAAGAACTATGGGGATGGATCTTTAAAGAATCTAAAGAGATATGAAGGGGAAAAAAAAAAAAAGAGAAAAAACAGGAACCTAGCAGGTTAAAATGGGGCACAGAAGAAAGGCATAAAGTCAGTAWGGACATAAATGATTAAATCAGTTAATAAGATGCTAGAAAGGAATACGGAACTAATTAAGCTTTAGAAAATAAATGATAAAAGATTTAATAAATAAATCCTGGAAGCTGCTAAGGGCTAGGCTGTGTAAAGTGTGCTGGGAAGGAAAAGGAAACCCATTGCAGGATTAAAGGAGAACAACCTTCTTCTAATTTTCGGACTGCTCTGAAACTGGGCCCAGTAAAAATATATAAGCTAAATCATAAAAGTCTGATCTTCTAAGTCATTTACTTTCACCTGTTTCTGCTGCGAGATCTGGGATACAGATAATCTGCTACTGGAAAACCGATCAACTGCCCAAAACAGCTTCTCCAGCAGCTAGATACTGCTTTCCACGGTCTGCTTAAAACGCCTGTTTCTATCAGCTTTCTTTCAATGAATATTCCATAGATGGCAGCACACACTTGAAAACAAAAACAACATCAGCAAAAAGCTAAATACAGATGTCACTGTGTTACCCAGGGAAAAGACAAAAACCACAATCTGTTTTGGTATATAAACATCTGGGTGCAGGAAAAGGTAGGGAGAGAAAGTAATTGAATGGGTGGATATTAGCAAGATCTCCAAGGACAACAGCACAGAGCAGGAGGAAAGGAACAAGGACAAAACCAAGCGAGAGCACTTAGGCTTAAAATTAAATATTGTGATTGACAAGGAGGGAAAAACAAAGTTCCAGAAATATTTCTGCTAATGATTAGTTGTGTAAGAGCTTGGCTTAACAGTAAGAAGTTTTTAGGCTGAGTTTTGGAGCTTGATAAATATAGTCAAATTTTCTGAAAG